AGAGAAGACCACTGCTGGATTCCGTTGAGCCAGGATGGATGGGGTGACACTTGCAGCACAGAGTAGTGATGGAAGGTTCCTTGAAGTTCACCTCTTGTCTGAGGACGGCTGTTCATGAGGTCACAGCTGTTGACTCATTGCAGGGTCACACTGCGTCATTCTGGTTTGGCTTGCAGGAAGCAAAGAGCAGCTTGCTTGATGCAGAGAATTTATAAATTAGGAGGGTTGATATCATTTCAAAAACAAGCACTTAAGAAAGAAGACTGTTGCCAGGCTGCACCGGCTGGCTGGCTTTCGGGAGCTCGGGCTGAGCTGTGCCAGTATCTTCAACAAGAATGTGTTCAGAGGCCATCAGAAAGGTCTTTCCAGAGCTGTCAGGGATAACTAAATAGCTACCCTACAGCCCCGTGGAGGCTGTACTGAAGAGGGTCCACACACTGGAAATGTACCAAGATGCAACCCACAAATCTATAGCAAGGACAAACCCAGAGAGTGCAGGCTGTCGGGTGGGGAATGAGGCAGCCAGAGAATTTTCCATGGGGCCAGATCAGTCAGGAGCTGGCTCTGCCTCTCCCTGAGTCAGACGTGAAAAGCTGAGTGGTTCAAGTGCTCAGATCCAGTCTGAGGGCAAATGCAATTTGAATCCATGAAAGTGAAGAACAGGGAGGGTGCAGGATTGGAACTCCCACCTTTGCTGTTTCCTAGCAGGTTGTGCAAGGAGGGGCTGGTTACTTCCCTGAAGGGCCCCAGCTCCCTCACCCATAAAGGGAAATAAACCAGAGGAAACCTGGACAGTATAATTGGCCCTTGTATGTATGGATTCTGCATCCACAGATCCAGCCAATCACAGATCAAACGTATTCAGGGGGAAAAATCACATCTGATTGAACATGTGCAGACCTTTTTTTTTTCTTGTCACCATCCCCTAAATAATATAGCATAAGAGCCATTTATAACTCTTATTAGGCAAGATTTATAATTAGGTATTATAAATCATCTAGAGATGATTTAAAGTCTGCAGGAGGGTATCCATGGGTTATATGCAAATACTACACATCTTATATCAGGGACTTGAGCATCTACGAATGTTGGTATCCTAGTTGGGGCTGGGGATCCTGGAACCAAGTTCCGCTGACACCAAGAGACAACTATATTTTGAGTAGTATGAGGGAAAAGGCTCACCCAGCCCTGGGCCTGGCCTATAATCAGTGCTAGGTAGAGGTTAGCATGGATAATAATCTTTATTAATTAGTGAATAATCTTTAGCCAGAACTTACAGACCCGTCTTTTATTCGGCACTGTGCTGGGGATGGAACCCAGGACTCTTGCGTGCTAGGCAAGTACTCCACCACTGAATGACATCCCCAACCCTCGTATGTTCCTTAAATTTTAGTCAGGAGTTTGTAGCTTATGTTCGGCAGCCCACCCTTCCTTGCTGAGGCATCTGATGACTCTACTTGAAACTGGTTGGTTTTCTAGTGTGAACCTGAAAATAAGAGGGCCATTCAAGACTGGATGGGGTCAGCCTTGTTCAGTCTTTATTTTATTTTTAAATGTTTGGTGCTGCTGGGGATCAACTGCTTGTGAGGCAGGCACTCTACCACTGAGCCACACCCCAGCCCTTATTCAGGCTAATGGCAGCCTGCTTGCTCAGGTGGGGAAGGTTCAGGGTCTCCAGTCTCACTTCTGTTTCCTTCCCACTTCTCCTTTCACATCTCTTCCCATCCGTCTTCTTTCCCCCCATGCTCCTTTTTTTTTAATTCTCTCACCCCTTCCCTGTCAATCTTACTTGTTTCTCCTAAAGGCCTGGCCACCAAGCGTCGGCATTAGCTTTCCACTGAAGTGATTCAGTCTTCATCCTCCACCTCCTCCATCACCAGTAGGTACCTGTTGAGTCCAGTCCCCTCAAGGGGCCTTCCAGCCACTCCTTCTCCAAATGCCTGACTATTCTATGCCCCCCACCACCACCTCTTAAAGGCTCCACAGCATCTCCCACTAGCACCCCCCTGGGGACCAAGCCTTTAACACATGGGCTTTGGGGAGACATTGAACTTGCAAAGTATTGCAAACATTCGCAAGGCCCTGATGGTATTTGCACTCAGTATTTGGTCTGCATTTTAGCCAGAATGGTCTGTTGTGATGTGGAAAACCCCTGGGGCAGGACTCTGCTAAGATCTGATAGGCCTACAGGAGCTCAGGGAAATGTGTTGGCTTTGGAATAGAAATGGAAGTTAGTTTGTTGTTTTTGTTAAGTTCTGGGGGTTCCCTGCTACACCTGGCTGAGGCTATTTCTCAACTGATAAATACAGGGTTTCAGTTCTCTGGCTGTGTTTGGGAATTAGAGGATATGAGTATTCAAAATTGTCTTTGATAAGGAGAAGGAAGTTAGGTTTTTTTTTATTAGTTTAAGATTATCTTATGGTAAATAATGCAATAACCACTGTCCAAAACACTAACAAGTTGGTTGTCAGCTGGCAATATTGTTAGAACAGTGTGTAATCCCTGGGATTAGTTTGATTAGGACGTTTTTCCCTCTTCTGGGTTCTTCATTCTTTGAGCTGCATCAAAACTTAGTGTTGGGGCTGCAGATGTGGCTCAGGGAGGAAGTGCATGCCTAGCATGTGTGAGACCCCTGGGCTTGATCTCCAGTTCAGAAAAAAAAAAAAAAAAAAAAAAAACCTTTGAGTAGAGTCTGGGCAGAGCCAGGGAGGTGCTCCAGACCCAGAGGACAAGAATGATGTGTAAATTAGAAACACAGTTGATAATTAACATGGAAAAGTACCTATTAGTTATAGGATATTATCTACTTGCAAATAAAATAAAAAGAATCCCTGCAACTATAACAACACCTAACACTGGAATGAGCTTGCTAAGTGCTGGACACTCTTTTAAGTTCATCACATATGTCACTTTATTTAACCCTCATGGCAACCCTGTGCAGTGGGTATGGCATGGAGGTAGCGTCATTTAACCATTAGGAAGATGGACACTCTCAGCCCTGAATTCAGGGAAAGCAAGGCTGCTGGAGACTGGATGAGATGGGGGAACCCATCGTAGTTCATTTGGGCTGCTATCACAAAATATCTTAAATTGGGTGGCTTATAAACAAGAGAAATTTACTTCTTACAGTTCTGGAGGCTGGGAAGTCCAAGATCGAGGTGCCAACAGATCTGGTGCCTGGTGAGGGCCCACTTATAGTGGCTTCTTGCTGTATCCTCACTTGCTGAAAGGGCAAGGCTGTTCTCTGGGACTTTTGTTTTGTTTTTAGAAAGGCATTAATCCCATTCATGAGGGCTCCACCCTCTGACCTAATCACCTTCCAAATGCCCCAACCCCTAATAACATCACCTTGGTGTTAAGATTTTGACCCATGAACTTGGGGGACACAAACATTTAGACCACAGCAGAGTCCATTGTCCCTCAAAGGATGGATCTGTTGCCACTTTCTTAAAAAGAAATATTAGCTAATAATTGTTTATACTTGTGACAATAATAATTCTCGATTTCTTATGAAAAAAATTCTATTTTTGGTATTAAGAATATTATGACTTTGCTTAGCATAGGCCTTTTGGATAACCCAAAATTCTCCTAGGAACTCAAAGTAGCAACCCTTGTTACCCAAGTCCAAATGCAGCACCTGCAGATTCTGAGAATCACCTTTAGTTTCATTCATTGAGCACAGGTTCATCAGAGGTGCTGAAATCAAAAGCAAAGTAAGGAAAGAACATTATATTAGTTATAACAAAATATCTGAGATGATTAACTTAAAGAGAAAAGTTTTATTTTGGATCAAAGTTTTGGAGGTTCCAGCCCAAGATCAATTGAGCTCATTGCTTTGGGCTTCTCCTGGGTGGTAGACAGCGAAGGCAGCATGTGACAGAGCAAACTGCTCACCTCATGGCCACCTTATGAAGCAAAAAAGAGAAAAGAGATCCCACAATCCCCTTAAATGCCCCCAATGACCTAAGGACCTCCCAGTAAGCCCCACCTCTTAAAAGGCTCCACAGCATCTCCCGATGGCACCATCCTGGGGACCAAGCCTTTAACACGGGCCTTTGGAGGACATTGAACATGCAAAGCATAAAAAATATTCACAAGGTCCTAATGATATCTAAACTAGGTGTTTGGTCTACATTTTAGCCAAAATTCTCTCTCTGGAAATCAACTTACTTTGGGATTACATTCTGTTGAGTGACAGATTTTCTTTGAAGGGCTGGTATCTCTGACTTATTGCCAGCATTCCTAATATTGGTGGTGTTATTTAGTAATAAAATCATAATAAACTCTTTATGGTGACCCAGTCACCCAGCTCACACATTCAGCCCATCTTCAACTACTTCTCTATTATGAGTCATGGAAAATATTTGATTTGAAAACAATGTGGTGGTCAGTGAGTTGCAAATGGCATACTTTGCACTATGTGTGATTTCTTCCTGTCCCTTCTATTAATGTCAATAGTGGAACCCAAAAAATTAGAAACCTGAAGCACTGTTGCTGAGAATGTTTCAAGTCAAGGCTTCTGTTCTGATCGCCATTATTCATTAGGTAGCTACCCAGGTATGGACAAAAGGGTAAGTTTAAGGGGACAGTGGCAAAGCAAGATTCTGTCCCTCAGAGAACGAAACCATGGACTTTTTCAAGGTCAAAAATCTCAACTAGTTACAGGAGTTAGTGGTGTATAATAATATATGACAGTTTATTGGTGTGTAGGAGACAGATGTGCAAGAAATTGTGGCAGGATGATTTACAAGAGTGTAACAGAAAAGCACAACCATGGGTGTTATTAATATTATATTGCAGGCTTTGCCATTTGAATGAATACAAATGAATGAGTCAGAGTTGGCTTTGTAAGTTTTTATATGCTTATATAATTAGAAAAATTATCTCCTTAAGGGCTGGACTTATAAATATTTGCTTAATATGATTCATTAATTAAACATGTGAAAGTACTTATTTAGCATAAAACTAGGGGACTCTCGGTATCCGTTTTGTTTTTTCAGAATGAAAGTGCCCTTGTGAAAGAAAAAGAGCTGTCAATCGAACTTGCAAACATCAGGGATGAAGTTGGTAAGTAGGGCATTGGAAATGAGGACCATAAAGAATGTCTTTTCCTGATTCCTGTGAATGTGTAACAAAAGCAATCATGTCTCCTGTAAAAAGCCCGAGCAAACCTGCCTGAACGAATGAAGTGGCTTACCCAGCACAGCGGTAGGCTGCTGAAGCCTTGCGGGGAGCCATAATTTTTACATGTCTGTTGTTATAAAGACAGCCTCATAACAGTTAGCAGTGGAACTAATCACGCCTTGACTCTGCTACTCACAGATGGCAGCACATACATCAGTCTGTGTTGTTGGCTGTGACAAGCACCCCTCTATCTAAGCACCTTTGATAATATGTGGGGCTGCCTGCTAAATGCAGATGTTGCATGGCTGCCTGCCACTGTATATAACCTGCCATGAAATACCCTGTAAACTAGAACAAGATCAAAAACAGATCTGTCTGGGTCAAAACTATGAGGATGCATGTTGAAAGGACTAATATTTGGCCATTGGAGTGGTTTAGTTCAGTCAGAACCACGAGAGGCTTTCCCAATAAGAGGATGATCCCCAACCACAGAGGATGTGAGGAGAGATGGGCTCTCTCTGACTTTTGTCTGTCACTTTGTCCAGCCGCTGTTGACCAGTGACTTGCTTCCTTGCTTCCCCAATGTTGAAGAATAACACCAGAGAAGCACGCCGAGGCAAGGTCACAGTAGAAATTAGAAGTTTATTAAAGGACAGCAGAAAAGACTTCTCCCGGAGGAAGAAGGGGACCCAAGAGGTGGAATCCGTGGAAGTGCGGGTTGTCTCTCCATTTTATAGTTTTCGGTGATGGAATGTAGGTGGGAAGGCCCGAAGGGTTGGGACACAGGTGGGCCTAAGAGGTAATCTGGGCACTTCCGAGTCAGCATCTTTAAGTTTGCTGTTCATTAACATTTCTTTGGGATGGGCTATCTTCAAATCTGCTGGGGGCTGTTTCCTGGACTTCATTAAGATTCCGAGAGTTGCTCAGCTTTTCTGGGAATTCATTCTCATGGCCTCCATTTTAGATTTCACTCGATATTAGACCCGATTTACCTAAGTACACTGACTACCTAATTTTAAATCTGGCTTCAAAAGGACTAGTTGGAGTATTTGCATGTTCTCACTTCTTGATCCTATTTTCTTTCTTGACCACCCATGACTCCATTTCTCCAGGAATCAATCAGCAAAAGTGAAATACACATGGCCCCTTCCTATTGGCCTGCTTTTCTTCTCCATCTGGTGTGGTCCTGGGAACAGCTCACCTGAACAGGTGTGGCCCCTCCACCAATGAAGGGACTTGGACCATCCCAGCCATCCTCAGCCGGTGGCCAGCCACACAGATAGGCCTGCAGCTGTGCTGTGGACAGGGCAGTGAATTTCAAACTTAGCTTTCCTCCACTGATTTCTTTCCTCCCCCTCTTCTTTAAAATTTATTTTTTCTTTCTGGTGGGTTTTGTGTCTTCTTTTGTAGTTGGAATAGATCAGCAATGGTCACTACTCCCCTCTAAGAAGAGCAGGCCCCTGTGGGAAGGCAACAATAACAGTGCTCCATGCCAGTCTCACCCAGTGTGACCTACAGCTGCAGGGCAGCTGCTCCTGGCCACCACTGAGAAGGAGCCAGGGAATTAAAAATCCAGATATAGGCTTTTATGGGTGATCCCAGCCAGGAAAGGCAATGGCGGCACGTGGGAGGGAAACTCCGGAGAAGCTGGGGTGCAGGAGAACAGGGCTGACACTGTTGGGTGGAAGAGCAGCCACCAGAGAGGGAGAGGTGACACCTGCTCCCCTCTGGAAAAGTCTCATCCTTGCTTATTACTGCAGCTGTTGTTTTCCTGGTGACTGAGTCTCATTTCCTGAAGTCACCACCATTCCCTTCCATCTATTTTTCTTTGGGTATCAACCAGGGCCTTCTCAGCTGCAGCTCCCAAGACCTCAGTGCCAAGGCTCCCAAGCTTGCAGCCTCTGTCTCCACTGGAGTTCCTTTCCCACGGTGGCCCCCCCATGAACCAGACCCCACTTAGGTTCTCAAGGGCTCGCGTGGAGAGTGACCCCCCTACACACACTTTTTTTTTCACGAAGGGAAGCCCCTGGCACACTTGCTGGTGGTGAGCCTGCCAAATGCTGGGGACTGTTTTCATTCCCCTCCAAGGAGGCCTCCCATCCATCCACCAGTGGAGCCATTGGTTCCCTGCACAGTTGGACTGTTTATTCTGTGAATGTGCACATCGAACATACCTGTGCACACACATGGGACCTTCTCATTGATGACTCCCCATGGTCTCCTGAAAAGAACATTCCTCCCTCTTCTTCCATTGTATCCAAAAAGAGTATCTCCTTCCTGGATTCTAACTGCAGAGACCCACCCCTCCAATTTCCCGACCTCAGGCTCTATATGCAATGTACTGTGACTTGAGACATCTCCCTCCCAGTAAAGCTGCAAAAGAATGAGTTTGACCTAAACTGACCCTTAGGCCAATTCCCAGGTAATTTAAGCATGAAGACAGCTGTGAGCCCTTGGTCTTGCCTCTTCTGGAATCACGGCCCTCCCCTTCAAGATGGCCCCTAGTGGCACTATATGAGGCATGGGGTAGAAGTTCCAGAATTCTTGATTCGCAGTGAGCAATGTCTCCATAATTATTTTCAGATTCCCAAGGGCAAATACATACTCACAACTCCCTTACTAAGTAGGTAGATCTAGGTGACTTAGGTGTCTATGTCTTAACATCTTAATTGCCTTTTTGAAAAACGAGCATAAATTGAAAGAAAAGAATTATATTTCCATTTCATAGGAGAAACCGTGATTACTTGCTAGTGGTAGGTGTGGGCTGTGGGGCCCAGCACAGCTTCTCAAACTGTAGAAGCAGGTTGGACCATGCCACCTTCGGTTCCTGTTTCACAGCTTTTCTGTGTGTACTTTTTATCACAGCAACATCCAAAACCTCAGCTCCGCTAAGATTAGGTATCACCAAAAGGAATGAAGTGAGCTGTGTTGCACTGATGTCAGACTGTGAACTGGAGCTCCTGAGGGCCAACAAAGACCCAGCACTGATGTGCTACCCTGGGAATTTTAAGATGCCCCACAATGTCTCTGGGAGTTTGCCGTAGTGACTTCAGATACCCCAGCACACAGTTTGGGAAGCACAAGCTTAGTGTCATTTCTCTGTTCTCAGAGGTCAAGAGATTTGAGGATGAAAATGGGTAGGTCAGCCAGGAATGGTAATCCCAGCGACTTGGATGGCTGAGGCAGAAGGATCACAAGTTCAAAGCCAGCCTCAGCAACTTAGCAAGGCCCTAAGCAACTTAATACAATGTGTCTTAAAATTAACACACACACACACACACACACACACACACATACACAAACACAGGGCTGGGGGTATGGCTCAGTGGTTAAGTGCTCCTGGGTTCAATCCTCAGTACCAAAAAAAAGGGGGGGAGGCGGTCTTTAGAAACTCAGGAACTGAAAGTTGTTGATGATTGTTCATGCAGAAAAGTATACAGTCTTGACCCATGTGAATTACACCTCCTGCCACCTTCTTTTCCTCTTTGAGCAAGACACGATGGTGTTAACTTAGGGAGTGATAAGTTAAGTCAATGAAAACATTGACTTAATAGATTTTCTCTGAAGTTTTCCATTGGGAGGTATCATGTCCATAGACCTGAAATACTATAAGCCAGCCTCTGAGTACGTTTCTCCATGAAATGGATGAGTTTGTAGGTGGTTCCAAGGGCTGGAGGTTCCCAGCATGGGCTTCATAGGGTGAGTTGTTTGGCCTCCCTGTCCCTCAAGTTCCCTTTCATAAAATGGAAAGTCAATTACAGAAGAAAATGCTGATACAGCACTCAGCAAAGGTGACTCTTATAACTATAGCACCTTGAATCTAAAAATAGAGTACAAAAATCTCCTCTATCTTGGGAAAAGATACAACATATCCCTCCCCAGAGAGATGTCTACCCTACCACAGGCAAACTTTGGATCTGGGGAGGTACAACCGATGCAGCTGAGTTTAGTGTGCCAAGTCCAAGGCCACAGCTCTCTGCGCTTCTGAAAACTTCTAAATGCAACAAGCCTTTCTCAAGAATTACATCTTTTCTTTTTTGAAGTCATTTGTTTTCTGCATTAGTGCTAAGAATAGAACCAAAATTTATCTGCCAAATAAAAAAAGCCTGTGGAGGCAGGGCAGAAAGCCCTGGCAGCACACCTTGTCTGTTCAGCCCATCATTTGTCTCAAGGATACTTCATGAGCAAGGTCCAAATCCACTGCCCATATTGCATATGTCAGGGGGCGGGGGATGGGGAATGTGGGGATCCACTGTCAACTGTAAGGCCCATAAATTCTGGAGTCTCCACCTGCCCTGTGTTTCCTGGAATAAGAAGAGAATAAAGCTAATAAACCTCACTGCTAAATGATCCAGAGAGAGACATGGTCAGCCGCAAGCCCTCACCAGCAGCCCTACCCAGAGTCCTACCTCTTATCAGCTTGTCTGATAGCAGTCACTAGAGGTAGGGGGATGTAGAAAGAGTCTGAGGGAATGTAATTTCCAAATCTGTGAATTCAGACAGAAGAAAGGAAGAAGCTGCCAAAAGTCAGAATCATTCAGGCATATTTATCACAGATTCCAGAACAGGGCTGGCTTGTCCTGCAAATCTAGCTTTCTGCTTAAACTTTCTCACATCCCCTTGTGAAGTACAGTGAAGTCTGAGAACCAGTGAACACACTGATTTGGGTCAGAAACAAGGTCAGGGAGCAGCAGTAGGTAACTTGGGACAGGCCTGAGAGGGTGGGCTCCCATGGTTGAGGGCTCGCTCTGGGCTGCAGGGAGGACAGTGAAAGAAACTCACATGCAGGGGGAAGAGTCCAGAGTCTCAGGGAATTGGTTGTTGATGTGGAAAATTCTGCCCCTCCCCGACATTTGGTGTCCGAAACATCACTCGAGAATGGTCTTGAGGTTTACTTGCCATTCCATTTAATGCGGACTCTTAACTACTCAGAGTTGGCACAG